CCTTCCTTCCTTCCTTCCTTCCTTCCTTCCTTCCTTCCTTCCTTCCTTCCTTCCTTCCTTCCTTCATTTTTCTTTTCCAGTCATCCTTTTCATGCTTATTTTCCCTTTTCTTCCCTTATAGGAAGAGCCCCTTTTTTATCTTCATAGGAAAAATAAGATGAAATGTGTGTGACTGTGTATTCGTCCGGATGTGTGCTTACCAAGCACTGCTTAAGTGTGTGTGTGTGTGAGTGCGTGTGTGCGTGTGCATGCCTTTTTGCATGCCAGTGGGCGACTGTTCAGTGTACATATGTGTGTCCATACAGTTCTTAGTATGTGGGTCCAATCGATGTGCTTGGCGTAAACTAACCTGCCCTCTCATTCACTTCAAGGCAAAATTTAGCCCGCCTTCTGCGTCCCTGACTCTACCTCACACTCTTTTTCACTCTTTTTGCACTAACCCACACACACATACACACACACACACATACATCATCACACATTGAAAAAAAGCACATGAATACGCTCACACAACTTTCATTGCAGTGTCCCTGTTTATTAATCATCACACACACACTAACAGTGTGTGATGTTCAACACTTATTATTCTCTCTGTCGCTTGCCTCTTGAGATCAGGACAGGTGTTTTAAATCCCCTTTGTCTTTTTCTCTTCATTCTTTTTTTTCCTAATCTCGCTGCATCGTTACACATCTAACTCAACCCATTTCTTTCCACATCTGCCTCCACTCTTTTCTCATTTCTCTTCCTTCTCTTTTCCTCTCCTTCCTTTGTTGCTTCCTTCTCGCATCCTGCTTTTGGCACCCCTCCTAACACCCATCTCTCAGTTTTCGTGTGTCCCGGCTCACTGCTCAGCATCCAGCCAGCCTCCTCGCTCCTGGAGGCGGAGCACCAGTCTGGGGCCTGGTGTAAAGACCCCCTACAAGCTGGTGACAGGCTGTATGTCATGCCATGGACGCCGTACAGAACAGAGGTCTTATATGAGTATGCATCCTGGGATGATCTTCGACAAAACAGAGTAACAACTACCTATAAGTGAGTGGCTTATATTCTGTGTGTGTAGCTCATAGGAAAATCTTAAATTTGGAAGTGTCTGAGCTCTCATTTGAAATGTAATTATTACCTAAAACAATTGGGCAAATTAGGTTTTCAAAAAAATCAATGAAGCAGTGGGCAGGTACAGTGATTGTGTAAGATYAGCTCTGGGGAAAAATTAACATTTAGTGGAATTTCAAAAGTAAMTGAGCAGAAAGTTATTTTCAGTGACAGATTAAAATTTCTGTTTCTGACTGGTCTGTGTGTGCAAATAAAGGGTTGTCTAAAGTACAAAAAAAGTCAAAAGTTTGAGAGGTCTGTTACTTAGTTTAAAACCCTGGTATTTGTAATGAAGAAAACGACTTTAAAGGGATCCCCGATTAGTTGTAACATTAGACTTTATTTGATAAACATTTATTTTAACTGTAAAATAAACACTGTAAAAATACTGTAGCCTTAGTTTTGTACATTTTTAAAATACATTTTAACACGGATGGAGCCATTTTATTTACACGCAAAGCATTCTGGGTAAATGATGAC